CAGGGAGATGAGAAGCCGTTCTGTGTCGGATGCGACACAGATTTTACCAATAGACACATCTTAACCGAATGTCTAGACTTTGGAGAGATCCGAAGGAAATATTATAAATGCACCTGTCTCTCTGTCTCTGTTTTACTGATGCTGTGTGTCCATGTCCTCAAAGAAACCTTTTCTTTCCTCAAAGACAGGTGACTATGTACATCCCATTGAAACACAGTATGCAGTGAAGGAAGATTTGCCCAGTGGAGCAGCTTCCTCGGCTGAGGTCAGAGGGTTACTCTGTGAGGCTTGTGCTCACCATCAGACCATCAAGGTGCGCCAACTGGCGGCCTATACCCCTTTAGATGAGGTAAGATATGATAACATGAACTGCATTGATCCATGAGTCTTGGGTGGATATGCCTGAACATCGACGTACAAAGATTCAACATCAACACAGAAATGTACTCATTATATTCATGGACAATGATAGACATACAACAATACACAACTCCCTCTCATGAGGGTACCCAAACAGTGCACTGACAAGACTGACTGTTGTCACAACTTTGACTATCTGACCAACTTTAATGGGTGGTTAATAGGTGCTCTAGGGTGGTGTTGCTTATATTCTTTTCAGTTGTAGTATTGATCTAATCTCTTTAGTTTTAAGCTAATTGTTTCTATTACCACGCAATGGTTTGTAGTTTGTGTTTGACTGTTGAACAAAAATGTCACTTTGAAGACTTAACATTTAACATGTTTGAGAACTAGATTGAGCTGGGTCGAAGCTCGGCTCCTGAATGATATAAATTGTGTAGATCAAAATTTAAACTATATTAAAGATGTGTTAAAACAGAGCATGTATTCACAAATTTTTGTTAGTTGAAAATAATAGGAAATTGATCCAACTGCCCCAAAGAATTTGTGGAAAAAAAAGAAAAACAAATCAGTTATGAGACTCTTGCAGTTAAAAGAAACTTGGTGGTTTTTTAAAATCTTGTTTTATCTTACACACAAGAAGAAAAGGCATTGAGTTTTGAATGTTTCTTACAGGGCAACTATGATGAGGAGATAGAGAGCTACAGCCAGTACTTGGAGATTGTATATCGCCTTTGTCAGGCCTGTGAGCTTAAAGTGCTTGAGCACTTGAAGAAACAAGACCACTTGCTACTTGAGAAAATGGAAAAGTCACAAGTGGAAAAGTTGAGGGAGCATAAGGAGATGGGGAATTCTGACGATGCATTGTTTAAATCTTTTCTGGTGAGAGTTGTGTGTTTTAAAATGTTGATTTTTCCTGGAAGGAGATTTTGTGGTAGACTATGTGTATTTCAGACCTGCCACTCATCCTGATTTGACCGGGATATCCCGATTTTTTGCCTCAAATCTCAAGCATCCTGATTTTCCCGATTTCGCGCGTTAAACTTTTTGTCAGCATGTTGCAGGAACTGGGAGCACTATTTTCTGAAATATCAATGCTGGATTTAGTAGTCGACTCGCCCCAAGTTGTGTTGTATCTTTGCTCGCACATGTTATTTCGACTATATTTAATGCAAGTAGTTTCAATTTGGCATTCCGACTTGGGACATTCTTAAGATCTACTTTCGCTTTTGTTTCCACTCAAAATTCTCTGATGATGGCCAGATAAATGTTTCTATTGCGACATACAAATGATCAGTACTATTCATAGTTCACCTGTTGCTTTCAAAACAAGTTTTGTCCAAGTTATTGTTAGTCAGTACTGTCATCAAGACCCGTCAGTAAAACTGTTTCAATCGTGCATTCGCATCACATGTGAGTTTCGCGTTAGCCGGGGACCATCCGTTGACGGGGTCAACTTAAATTCATGCACACTGGTTGATACGTCTTTCGAGACTTACATGGGCTGTAGACACTTCAGTTAGGAGTCCTTGACATGATACTTCAAGATCTTAAAAAATAATGATAACACACACATGCGCGTGTACAGACGCACGCACGCACAGCACTCAGAGGGCATGTACTTGGATATATTTATGGACACCCCTGGAAAGTTTTTTTTTTTTAAAGTCAGCTTGGCAGTCACCTTGATGGTTTGTCATTTATCCCGACTTTTTTCACCAAATCCCAATTTTTTCCCCTGAGATCCTGATTTTTAGATTTCATAGAGTGGCAGGTCTGGTATTTTGACTGTAATCAGTTTTCAGACAGCCTTTTAATTGTTGAGTGGTGAACTGATGGAATAAAAAGACAAAGACTTTGTTGAAATATCTATTTACTACCTTGGAAGAGCTTCAGCATGTCAGATTTATGACAGCGTGAGAATCGATTATGTTGTTATAGGTAACAAATGTCAAATGGATGAACAGTTTGATGTCTGCGTACCTTTGCTCCCCTTCTAAGAACGTTTAATGAAAGGCAAAACATGTTTTACATAATTTTTTCTCAAATATGACAGAAAACTATTATGAATGTATTTTATACTCAACATATATAAAATACAAAGAAGGGTTGTTGAGGGTTTTTTTGTGCACTTTTACTAGCATATTCCTCGTTTGTACCAATTACTGGTTGAACGATCTTTTAGTTTTTAGAATGGTTCTCTTGTAAATAAAAGCTATAACATTCTAAGACATACATTTTATTATGAAAATGCTTTTTTTTCTCCCCAGACTTCACAGAACACAGAGCATTTGCCAAAGAGACGCTATTTACCATCCTTCATATTCTTCTTCTGTTTGATTTTAGCATTTGCATTGTTGGTAATAAATGTACGACTTCTTGCTGCATCGACTTCGACTAAACTTTTCTCTAACAGCATTCTGCAAGGCTACGTTGGTGAGTTTTATGCTGGCTGTGTCAAGTTTTGTTTTGGTAGTGTAGACCTCAATATATCGGTCCATGAAAGTACCCTAAGATGACCGGTTTTTTTTCCTTTAACAAAAGTCGTCTCTGACGAAAAGTCACAAGTTGGAAATTTCTTTTATTACGTTATGGAAATTGGAATCAAAGTTGATTATGAATTTACAAGTTACTTAGAGTACAAGTCCCAGTATGATTAGCTTCTGGTTAAGCAGCATTTATGATGTAGTGATTTGGCTCTTCGTTGTTGTATGCAAATGATGTGGGTTTGATTTCTCCCTACGGAAATCGTTTTTATTAAGAATTTCATCTTTTTGCCCGGAATTAGGGGGATGGGCTGGCTGATTAGAGTTGTCAAGAAAATGTGAGAGGTAGCCTGTTTAACTTTTGGTGGTCTTCATATTCAGAGCTGTTATATCAGTATTTTCGTAGTTTAGGGTTTGTTTAAATAAGAGTTGTTGTAGTTGGGGTTTCAGAGGTGTTGGCTATGAGGCTTGTTTTACTGTGTGTAGGGGGACTCTTGTTGTCTAAGGTTACGGTGTTCGCCTCTCATTCGGTGGGTATCGGGTTCGAAACCTGACAGTGACAAAAAAATTTCTTCTCTAAAATGTTCTTCTTTCACCTCCTTTCATGCGCTCTAACGAGGTTCTGTCGTCTGCTCTCGTCTCCACTTAATCCCCCATTTGCCCCCTCCTCTGGGCTCCTGACTCTTTCTGCAACCTTTCTACTACTACCCCTTATCTCCTTCTTACTGCTGCCACACCCCTGATGTTAGAGTAGGTAAGATCGTAAACCTAGCCTTCTCGGGTGAGGGCAAAAATTCTCTGAGATTGCACATGTTAAAGATCCATTTCTGGTCCAAAATCAATAAGAGTAGGCTTCTGCCGCCGGCTTGGCAAAATTAATTCCAGCAAACTAAAAGTGTTTAACGTGTCGTGGGTGCTTATATGACCATTTAGTAATAATAATAATATAATTTATAACATATTTATATAGCGTATTTCCAAAAAAGTAGCTCAATGCGCTTTACATTGGAATACCCATTTTCAAAGTCTTTCTTACTACTTCCTTTCTTCTCATGCAATATATATTTATGCACACACCCACACACACACACACCCACAAACACACACACACACATACTCACACACACATACACACACACACACACACACACACACACACCTACATACACACACACACACAGACTATATTCATCCCGACATATCCACAGAACAACTTTAATTTAAAAAATAACGCTAAAAGCTTATGAAGGATAGGCCTGTAGAAACAGAAAATGCTTAAGATGTCTTTTGAAGCTGTTGTGAATGCCATAAAACACTTAAATCTACCAAAACAAAAACAAAACTGTGCGTAATAAACGTTAGTTGAACAATATTTGTTTTCTTTTGATAACTCTCAAGTCCCGACAGAATTTGTCAAAGGGGGTTAAAGAGACCGCTTAGTTGAAACATTTTTCTTTTTCTTTAAAAAAAAGTTTTAGCAGAGGTTTTACGGCGCTCGCAACTTCATAAGGTCATATGAGCGCCAGAAGATTAGAGGTGTTACAAGAGAGTAACAAACAAAAAAGAAGAAGGGGAGATAAGGATGATAGCTGTTTGATAACAAAGAAGAAGCAAACCACTCCAGAGCACCCGCCAACCACCCACTTTCTATTTCTGTAACTCTCTTATCAATGTTTTCAAAGCAAATATATATTTACACTTGCGAATGCATTACATAATTTTTAAAGGAAAGATAGTTAACTTTTTATGTTTTCATCTGTACCTTTTTTATCCTGTTGATGGTATTATCCAATGCTCTATTTTAACACTTTTAGTACTATCACCGACTTTAGTCGCCAGGCCGTAGTATGCGCTCATTACCGCTGGCGACTCTAACTCGATCAGGCACACTAAATATAATTAAACAACGAACAGAGCCACTGCACTGAAGTAAATACCAAAGGAAGTCGCTCTGTATGGTAGCTGAATGGATGATGCAACTCTGTGAATTTTTAAAGCATGTTTCTGGGGCTGCAAAGGTTTTTTTAATCTTAAAAAAAATTCTGCTGTGTCTTCAGCATTCTAAACTGGTGTGGTACTTGAGGGTTTTTCACTAATTGATCCTTCGGTACTGTAAGAGTTTATGCCATTTGTTATTTTATATGATGTTTTCTCTGTTCTGTTCTAGATTTCTTGGTCCAGAAATTGCCGTCAAGGACTGCTGTAGATACTGCTGAAATTATTGAATATCTGGGGACAGCTCTTTGCTTTACTGGAATGTTTGTGGCTGGAAGGCATAGGTGTGTACAAAGTATACCACCACGTGTGAGTTTGTTGTATTTCTGATGATATTTATGGAATTTATATTTTTTTCTTCTGGGCCTTTGAGGAAAAGCTTATGCTTTAATTAAAGTTTAATCTGTCTTAACACATAAATCTTTATTCAAATGCTGCAGTTTATGATTTGTGTGAGACTACTCTTTTTGTCAATGGGTCAGCTAGCTTCGTAAAGACTTGACAAGCTTTTGACGTTGTGCATACAGAGGTGGTCAGCAAAAGGAGGTCAAATATAAATTATGAAAAGAATGGCACTCCTCTTAACTCATTTCTTATGTTATACCGCGTGCCACATCACAAGGAAGTCAACAAAGTTGAGAAAGCCACTCACTGTGTCACTGCACCATTTGTACCCTGTCGATGTTGTTGCAAATGGTAGATGTGCTTATTTTTAAAATATTGTATCCTTTATCAAAAATTTTGTTCAAAATGCTGTATATATCTATGTACATTATGATGTATATTATGTCTTTAGACCCAGTTGAGTAAATTAACTCATTCGCTATGCCGAGCCGTGGGGGGGCGGCACGGCTAAAGTGCCATCAGTACGCTAAGCCGCCCCCGGCAGCTCGACAACCGATCTTCAATTTTAGCTTAGATTCTATTCCAATCCACATATCCATGTTAAAATAAAGGTCATAATATAATGTTGACTTCCAGGTCAAGCATTTCCACTGAAAATCGGAAATTTAGATTCAGTTTTGAAACGCGATTTCGTAGTTTATTCAACTTTGTTTTATCGCGATGCCAAAATTATAGCCCGGACACCAGTTTTTGTAATTTTACACAACAAAATCTATGATTATTTTGCCCACTAAAGAAATGTAGGACTCTTTTTTATAATATTGATATGATTGGACTCATATTGCCAATACACTGTTATTGAGAAATCAATATTTTTGAGTGCTAGATCTAGGTCTAGATCTAGATAGTCAAAATATTTTTTTCTCCCCAAAATCACTACTTTTTGATGAAATTACACAAAAAGTGCCACTCAGGACATGCATAGGTTTATTCCAAATGCAATTCTGAATAATTCCATATAAGATAAGAGTGGGGTTTTTTCTGTTTGTGATCGTTTTTCAAGATTATAAAAAAAAATTTTTTTTTTCAACATCGGATGTTATGTTCAAAATGTACAAATATTATGGAATGTAGGTAAATAACTGCAAACTTTTCAATATTTTCCAGTTCTATATTCATTTATGGTTATTTTGATGTATCATTTGACTAGGTGCAAACATATATATTGAGTTTCACCAAAGATTATAAATTTTTTATTTTCAATTTTTATCCGCATCCAATCAAAACTGTGTTGCATAATCGTCTCTTACAGGAACCAAAGTTGAAAAATACATAAATAAACATTACAGATGTATTCTACAAACCATACTGAAAATATTGGTATATAATACGTTGATATTTATTTGAATTTGTGGCCCCAAAGACCTTTTAACTGCCCACTAGTCATCATCACTTTCGCTCTCCCGAAAAAAAATTCGTCCACAAGCCGAAAATAATACGTAGCGAATGAGTTAAGTGCCAAATAACAATTGTGATCATGTTTAAGATTTTCTAGCAGGCATTATTTGTCTCCTTACACAATACTGTGTATGGAATGAATTTTAAAGAAGTCCCTCAAGCCTGTGACAGTCCTAAGCAGAGCTGTTAAAGTACTTTTTAAAAAGTACTTAAGTACAAATTTAAGTACAATCTAAAAAATGTACTTAAGTACAGTAAAAGTACTTTCCTATAAAATGTACTTGAGTACAAGTACTTTTAAAAAAAGTACTTATGAGTACATTTTGAGTACTTTCTTCTAATATGCTAAAACACTTCAGCGCTTATGCAAAACATCATATTTTATAACTTATCCAGTATATTTGACAAATTAAGCTATTTATTACTAAAAATGTAAGCAGTATACAAAGCATTTGAATATACAATGTACGCACTGAACGGTGGAAATGGTCCGTGAAGTTGAACAAAAAACAACCCAAACGAACAGACGCAACTAGTGGGTAAGTGATATTATGAATAGAACTTGTTTGAGCAAGACAATGTGATCAAATGTAAGTCAGTCCAAGAGGTCGGAAAGTTCTACAGAAAGAGTATCCAAATTGAAAAATGTAGATACAAAGTTGCTCTTAAGAAAACATAAAATTGATGAAAATGGCCCGCATAGAAATGGAAAAGTGCATTGAATTCTTCATTAACAAATCCTCAAGGAATCAATGTAGCCTTAAAAGCAAAAACCACCCAAAAAAAGTTTACAAGAAATTTAGGCAGCCTAAAAATTGTAAGATACACATTGAGAACACAGTTTCAGTTTCAATTGATTATAGTGGTCTGACAGATTTTGGTCACACTGTGTAGTCCACGGCGCCAACGGCAAACCAAAATACAATAGTTTCCTAGAGTCTAGTAAGTGTGGTGTAACCAAAGATTCTCTACTACAGTAGTCTCCGCCTAAGATCCCAGTGCTCGGTAGCAAGGAAAATATGGGATCTTAGCTAGGCTTTCTCAGACTGAGAAAGCCTAGGATCTTAGCCAACGAAAGGAAGAATCTACAGTGACCCATGAACTGACGTGACCCCTGGGTGGATTTATGACATATGGCAAGCAAAGAGTGGTCAACCTTGATGACCAATCACAGTGGCATGAGGCATGCCATAAATAATATTATATATACACACTCATTAGCCTGTCGTGAGTCTTGAGATCTTTATCTACGTTTATCCAGCTGCCCCTCCCCTTTACCTGTCCAACAATTTTAGCTTTCCATCTCTGATTGAGCCCGTTACGCACCATTACGATGTGACACACTAATTAAAATTCAAGTTGTCTCGCAAATTCGGGAAAAACTGCTTTCAATGGTCAGGGAAGAGTTCACAGTTTGATGTGATCCCGCCTGGAGCGAACTTGTAAGCCCTACCCACCCAGGGAGTGATGTAAGTTTAGGTGGTGAGGTCAGATGGGAGTGCGATGTTTGGGGAAAAGATACGCATCGGTCAGTTCACACCTCGGTGTGATCCCGTCTGGAGCAAACACTGTACCGTTTCAAGGAGTTTTACAACGCTTGTGATCACATTCACGATAGTGGCTGATCTTTGAGGCGACGGGCCGTTCTTTGATCTCAACTTTTAACCCTTGGCGGTTGATCGGGTTTTTGTTCCGTAAATTATGATCAGAAATGCCTGCTCTTACCCTTTCATTAAGCTACCAAAGTACTCAAAATGTACTTAAAAAGTACTCAAAAGTACTTTTATAAAAAGTATCGGAGTACAGTAAAAGTACTGGTTTCAAAAATGTACCGGAGTACAGTAAAAGTACCGAAAATTGTAACGTAAGCACAAGTACCGGAGTACTTGTACTCCGTTACTACCAGCTCTGGTCCTAAGGGTATGGTTGCCTTTGCTGGATATTCTTTTTAGTGTTTGTGTTGGTGTCTTTTTCAATTTTTCAATTTTTCAATATTTTTTTTGATCCTGTGCCCCATTTCTTAGGTTCCAAATGTCAACAGTTTGAAGAAAAGTGTGCGGCGCAGCAATGTTAGAGCTGTTATTGTGAGTTTTTCTAAATTGAGTCAAAGATTTGCAAACGATGAAACGATATCTGCAATTTTGAAAAAAAAGAGGTTGGGAATGATGCTGTTAGTGTGATAATGAAGGAGATGTGAAGTTCTTGATAATGCTACTGTGTGTATCTAATGATTCCTTGGCAGCTGGTACCCTGAGGATGCCTTACACGTGAACCTGTGGGTGGTTTGTGTTGTGCTGTCCAACAGGGATGTCCTCACCTTCCTGCCCTGGTTGGCTGTTAGAGGCGCTGGTCATCTCATCATCGCTCTGTCCACTTTAACTGCAGCAGCCTTTTGTGTTTTGCGGCCTCGAGTACCTAGAAATCTGGATTTTATTTCTGTATTGAGGTAAGAATTGTTCTGATATCATTTCGTGAAATTCAGTGTGAATAATTTTTTGAGCATGGCAATTGATGCCATATATGCCAATAGTTATTTCTGTTTTAAGGTAAGAAAAGATTGGTTCCCTGATGTTTTTATATGAATCCTCAAGTCTCATTGTCTTTGAAATTTTATTTTGAGGATCCAGGAATATAGTGGTGTTAGAAAGAGGAAGAAATGTGTAAAAAGGGTTGTCTTCCATCATTATGAATTTGGCGAAATTGTTACGATTTTTATTTAATTCTACAAAAATACAATTGTAATACCCCTGATTCTGATTTTTTAAAATTTCGGCTACCCCAACCCACTGCTTTCCTTCCCAGTGAATAAAAGGAGAAAAACTACCAGATCCGGACAGTCTAGGTCACTATGTCACATGCCGCTGTCTAACTTTCACATCCTCTTTGATTTTAGCCCCTGTTGTCACTCGGTGCCTCTTTGCTCTTAGAAAAAACATTTGACTTCAGAAGTGACAAAGCCAGGAGTAAGGCAAACATTAGGTTGACAAGGTGGTCGAAAATTCCTGGCCTTTTGTGTTGTGATTGACGGCCTAGTCCAGTAAGAGAACTTTATAAAAATGGATCATTGTTTGAAAATTGAAAGTTAGCTGCCGTAGGTGCGTAGCATGATGTGATGTATTCTGTAGTTCCAAAGGTTTCTTTTGTTTTTGCAAGCACCCAGATTACACTTTGGACGAAATAAAAACAAGTCTTCAAATGGCCCTGCCAGAAGCATCTCGCATTTTTTTCAGTCAAATGATGCGACTACTTTGAACAAATTTAAAGTGAGTGAGAGAGGAGGGGGGGGGGGGGAGATACAGAGAGAAATACAGAGAAGAGAAAGAGGGAGGGGTGAAGAGAGAGAGAGAGAGACAGAAAGAGAGAGAGGGAGACAGACAGAGAGAGAGGGAGACAGACAGAGAGAGTGAGAGATAGAAAAAGAGAGAGAAAAGGGGGGGGGGGGGGTGGTGTGCTCATAAAGACCATGTCAAACAACCTATTGTACCTAAAATGTGTTTCGAATTTGAACTGGCAGTAATGATTTTGAACTTTGTTGAATTTGAACTGCTCCCGCTGTTTTGATGTTTGAACTTTGTATGTTGAATTTGATTTGACTTGGTTGAATAAATTCTGTATGTTTCGTTTGAATCATCTAAATGTATATTTGATCAGGGAAAGGTGTACAACCCCTGTCCTTGACACCCCATGAAAGAGGACAAGACATGGCCATATTACTTATTTTCTATTTGTTGATTACTAATATAGCTGATGGTAGGCAACCCTGCCTTTGCTGGATGTGAATGAGGAATGGGGGGGGGGGGCATCGTTAGATTGTATTTAGGTCTTCCTTGATTTTCCTCTATTCAGTTGTTTGAATGCCGTATTTGTGCCTACAGTGTAGAGAATGTTCAAGACGACCTATTCCTCGCTATGATGGTAACAATTTCCAACATTTTACTTTTCATGCATTTGCAATAGTCTTTCATTGGCTGGTGTCTGTGGTATAATAGTTAAAAACTTTTCCTGGCTTCCTAAAGACACAGAGAATATATTTTGATCATGATTTGGTTGATGAGCGACTGACACATTTACATAATTTGCTGTCTTCATTTATTCCTCTTCATCCCTCTAAATCTGAGATTTTTCTATTATTGTGACCAAAGCTGTTAAAGTACTTTTAAAAAGGTACTTAAGTACAAATTTTAGTACAATCTGAAATATGTACTTAAGTACAGTAAAAGTACTTTCCTGTAAAATGTACTTGAGTACAAGTACTTTTTTAAAAAGTACTTATGAATACATTTTGAGTACTTTCTGCTAATATGATGAAACACTTCGGTGCTAATGCAAAATATCATATTGAATAACATAGATATCTAGTATATTTGACAAATTGGGCCATTTATTACTAATAATGTAAACAGTATACAAAGCATTTGAATATACGCATTGAACATAAGTGGAAATGGTCAGTGAAATTGAAAAAAAAACAACCCAGCAAACAAACAGATATTATGAATAGAACTTGTTTGAGCAAGACAATATGATCAAATGTAAGTGAGTCCTAGAGGTCGGAAAGTAGGAAAAGTATCCAAATTGGAAAATGTAGAGACAAAGTTGCTCTTAAGAAAATATAAAATTGATGAAAATAGCAATAAAAAAAAATTAAAAAATGGAAACGTGCATTGAATTCTTCATTAACAAATCCTCAAGGAATCAAGGTAGCCTTAAGCACAAACCACAAAAAAGTTAAAAAGAAATTTAGGTAGCCTAAAAAATTGTTTGATTGATATACATTGAGTTTCAATTGATTATAATAGTGGTAAGACAGATTTTGGTCACACTGTGAAGTCCACAGCGCCCACGGCAAACCAAAATAGGCCTACATGTAATTTCCTAGAGTCTAGTAAGTATAGTGTAACCAAAAATTCTCTACTACAGTAGTCTCCGCCTAAGATCCCAGTGCTTGGGAACAAGGGAAATGCGGGATCTTAGCCGACGAAGCCAAGGAAGAGTCTACAGTGACCCATGAACTGACGTGACCCCTGGGTGGGTTTATATGACATATGGCGAGCAAAGAGTGGTCAACCTTGATGACCAATCACAGTAGCATGGTAGCATGAGGCATGCCTTAATATTATACCGTACACTCATTAGCATAATATATCGTCTCGAGATCTTTATCTACGTTTATCCAGTTGCCCCTCCCCTTTACCTGTCCAAAAATTGTAGCCTTCCATCTCTGATTGAGTTCCCCCTGCCTTTGTCGTTACGTACCATTACGTTGTGACCACACCAATTAAAATTCAGGTTGTCTCGCAAAGTCGGGAATAGAGAAAAACTGCCTTCAACTTCAATGGTCAGGGAAAAGTTCACAGTTCGATGTGATCCTGCCTGGAGCGAACTTGTAGGCCCTACCCACCCAGCGAGTGATGTGAGTTCAGGTGGCGAGCTCAGATGCGAGTGCGATGTTTGGGGAAAAGAAACACATCGGTCAGTTCACACCTATGTGTGATCCCGTCTGGGGATCATTGTACCGTTCCATGGAGTTTTAAAACGCTTGTGATCACATTCACGAGAGTGGCTGATCTTTGACGCGGCGGGCAGTTCTTTGATCTCAACTTTTAACTCTTGGTTGATCGGCTGTGCCCGCCCGGGTGCTTGTTCCGTAAATTATGATCAGAAATGCCGGCACTTACTCTTTCATTAAGCTTCAAAAGTACTCAAAATGTACTTCAAAAATACTCAAAAGTACTTCTATAAAAAGTATCGGAGTACAGTAAAAGTACTGGTTCTCAAAATGTACCGGAGTACAGTAAAAGTACCGATATTTGTGAAGCGTGCTGATGAAATGAGTTGCTTCTCAGATTTGACCCCTTTTCAAATTGATCATCATCATCATCATCATCCAGTGCCAGATCTGCAGCAGACATCGGCGATCATGGTTCTCCATTCATTCCTTTGCTCGGATGCTCTCAAAAAAAGCTACATTTCCCTGATCTTTCCCGTATACCCATTTGTTTAGGTTCCCTAAGTATGTTGTTCTGGGCCTACCCCTGCCTCGTTTGCCCTCAATTTTGCCAGTGAGAGCTAGATGTTCAAGACCCTGTCTATTCAGAATATTATGCAAATGATATATCGCGCTTGTAGCTGAAGTTTTTTACAATTTATAGGTATGAAGTAATAAAAGGCATGTTATACTTAAAGAAAATGGCATCAATAGAAAATCTACAAATTTGACCGTAGTATCGATTTTTGGCCAATATCTCCAATTGTGGATTGCGAGAAGTAACTCATTTTGTCAGCTGGCCTCACATTTGTTGTAAGCTCTATCTTGTGTCAGATAGTGGTGCACACATGAAGCAGATTCTCTTGATGTTGTGGAGTCCGAATCTTGTGTAGTATGCTTGGAGACGTCTTTCCTGTGTGTCATTGCTGACACAAAATGTTTCTGAGCCCAATTCCTTTTCCACACGTTAAAAAATTTGCTTTCGGTCCTCATCTATCATTGTGCTGCAATAGGTGTGGGAAGTTTTGCAGCCGCAACGATCTCCGGGAATTCTGGCTGGTTTCTCCTCCATGACAAAATGTAACCTTTGACGTGTACTTTCTTTCCTGATGTTCCTGACCTTTTTCTCTTTTTTCTTATTATTTTCTTTTGTCCATGTTTCTCTACTAGCTTTTTGCTTCCCCTTTGTTCCATGCGCTTTGTGTATGGTCTCCATTTCTAAAGTTACATCAGTGTCTTCCCTTCTGATGACCTCTACTTAAACTTTAATACCTTCATTTGGTGAGCGTTCAGTCTCAATCAACGTGTTTTCTTGAGCTTGGGAACATTCCACTTGTTCAAGATCATGTTCCGTTATGGGCTCTGTGCCCTTAATTTGAGACTGTTTCCAAAGGCTGCAGGCTTTCTTCCTCTGCCAAAGACTTGGTTTAAATACCCCAGACCATCTATATCTTGTGCCACCCGATCTCTGTCTCTTTAAATTTTTGTCTCCACTAACATCGTTGACCTCTCCAGTTGGCAAATTGAGCACCTGAGCTAACTGGAAGTCTGCTGACTTGCTGTTGGTCATTATTTTGCCTTTCATAACACACGCTTCTTATCTGTCTTCTCTTCCCATGTCCTCTACTCCAATACCTTACTTCAATACCTTCACTTGGTATGGGCTCGATATCTCAATCAACATGTTTTCTTGAACTTTGGAATGTCCCTTTTTTCTCAAGATCTTGTTCCATTATGGGTTCTCCTTAGCTATAGATTTGTACCCTTTGCTGAAACATAATAATAAAATAATTCTTATTAACATTAACAATATAAAATCATTATTTGTCAGGTAAACTTGTTTTTTTTATCTTTTAGACTCAAAAGAGATTAGTTTCTTGATCTCCAACAAAAAACACTTAAAGGCCTTGTCAAAAATTTTAATACAATAAAATAGTTATAAATAGTCGTATCTAATCGTGTAAGTGTTTGAAAGCTGTAGGGAATGTCAAATTCACCGCTGCTTGTAACTGACAGATACACGCTTAGAGCGAAATCATTTATCTCGAAGCACTGGACTGATGCGCGTCTAGTGGCACCATTCGTCTCAACAAACCATTACAGTCTATACGTGTAACTGACTATGTCTTGCTGGAAAAGTACATTAATATATGAATTACGGCACAAATCATGATTTGTATGGTGGATATGTAATAACATATCTTTATGAAATCAACAAAAATCTTACCTTTTGGGCGTAAATTGTTGCATAGGAAGACGAATTGTTGTGCTCCGACGTGAACTTCAGCATGTTTCCAGTTACATGGATAGAGTGAGAGAGTGAGGCTGTACTTTTGTCTAGGCGCGATTACAACACATGACGGTTTGGGATGTTTATAGTGCATGATGGCCTCCCATATAAATAGAAAACATGCAGAAATGGCTTTTGACCCATTTAAACAACGAATCAGTGTTTACCCGATTTTTTCAGTTTCACAGTTAGAGAAAAATACTGTTGTTATAGAATCTTTATTTTAGGCAGGTGGTTGGAGGGAGATACTAGAAGGTCTTACTCCTTTTCTTTCCTATGTTGTTATTGTTTCTGTCTGTCTTACTCTTACTATTTCCCTGCTGTAAATGTGTCCATGTACTCGTCTTTTCTCAAACAAGAAAACAAACTTTTTTTCAGGAGGCCAATTTCTGATCTTGGAAATGCAACATCCGTAACAGCAGAACAGAAGCCAATAAAGTTCAAGCGAAATAAAAAGGGATCAGTTTCTCAAGAAGCTGGTTCATCTTCCTTGCATCACCCACAGCGTGGAGGACCAGATGGTTCTTCTCTCGATAACTTCCTTCAGGATTTGAACTCTTTTTCTCTTGGGTCAAGAAAAGTGCCAGGTCAGTTGTTTTTTGAGTTTGTAGTGTCACCAAGCTAGAAAAGAAAAGAAAGAAAGACACGTAAGAGAAAACTGACTTGCAGTAACCCAGTTGCAAATTCCCAGAGTGTTGATATGAATAATCAGTGAGGGAAAATCAAACATAAGACCGATTTTTAAAAAGTTTTTTCTTACTCACTTAGAAACAAACTGGCTGGGCCCCCTTTGGATGAAAGGAAGGATCGGTGCATTAACATCAACTGAAAGTCACTGGCCTATTATATTTACACTCTGCTGGAATGGAGCAATAAATCTTGGGAGATGCAAAAAATTAAAAGGTCTAGATCTATACGGATCGCACACTTAAAATAGTGCTCAGTATTCCGCTACAATGCGCGATAGTATCGAATGGAAGTACAACTTGAAATAAACAAATTTGGCGGATTTTCTAAAATTACAGAGACAGAAGCGCCGGCCTACAAAAGCGATCGGCGAAATAAAGAAATTTAGTTTTTTGCAGCAAAACTGTCTCGAAACTGAAAAAACGAAGGGCGTCATGATCTGGAGAATATTTTAAAGAGTCTTTTGGCTAAAACCGCAGGTCGATCGATGCAGCCATTAAAAAGCCTTTTGAATAGCAAAATTCGGCCATCTCAAATAGTAGATTCACGAAAAAGGAAATTGGAAACAACTATCGTGATTCTTTTTCTTATTTGTCAAAACATGATAGTGAATTCACAGAGTCATAGTGAATAATAATTAATGAAGTAAAATTAACTGTAACCTATTTTTTGTGATTTTTTTTTTTTTTTTACAGTCTTACAGTAATGAATTTTCAGAGCCTCAAAATAGATCGTCAGTAAAAATTTTAAAAGTATAAAATGAAACTTTTGTGATTTTTTGTTGTTGTATTTGTTTGCAATATGAGAGTAATGAATTCAAAGAGCCTCATCTATTCATATTACAGTGGATGTCGCATTCAAAGAGGTTGCCGGGACCGGCTTGTTGTCCTCGTTGGATCCGGCCTCTCATTGAACGTGACCACGGCTAAAGTAAAGAAACGAGACAAGTTATTATATTATACGATGTACCAATACCAGTAATTAAAACAGTTGTTCCCCCTGATGACGAAAATCTCAAACAGCATCAGTGTGCGTGTTTGAGCTGTGGTCTGACCGTCATTTCTGCATTGTACAATATTTTTTTCCCGCAACACTTCTTGTGTGGAAACGTACCCTCTCACATCTAGGCCTAGAAACATAAAGTAAAGGCAGGAGCTTGGATTTTATGATCAGGGGAAGAAAAGAAAACTGAAAAAAATTGAGGTGTTGATCTAGACCTACCCCCATCCAGAGTTCATCCAGTTTCACACAGCCCGCATCGTGTTCCCACCCACCTCCTCCCATCCCTACCCTAGGCCAACCCTCGCCCATCCTCTTGGCATTGGGGCCCATATTAGGAGGCACACTAGATATCTAGAAATACAATGTGTTAGGAATCGATGATGGGTCTTGTGCTTCGCGTAAGATGGAGAGAAAGGAGAAAAATTCTTCGCTTTTGGGGCCGCTAATTGCTTTTATTTGGTTATCGCGACCTCGTTGAAAGCTACTTCAGTCTGTTTGCAACCTCGTTGGAGCTGACATACATTTACAAAAAGATATAGAGGACAAATCGGGGATTAACACATTACACCACCCTAAGGGTCTTGATGGGAAGTCCATTGTTAGATCCTAAGCAAGGGGAAGGAACCCACCTCCCGTGAATACAAGCGTTTAAAAAACATATTTAAAAAATTCAAAACAAATTCCAAAAATCCTGAAAAAAGAAAAGTTAAAAAGAAAACTGAATGTAGTTTCAAATATAACTTTATGTATGCGCAAACTGTTGGAAATGTTGTAACTTTAGTTCAATCGGGGTGTCCGACCCGTCACTCTCACCCTCAGCCTTGCGGTCGGGCTCTAGATCTAAATTCTAGATTTTCTCCGTCTGATCAATCTGAATCCCCAAACTCTTGCAACAACCTTTTCATCAAAATCTGAGCCATCTGATTTGTCATATGCTTCTTTTTGCTCAAATCCATCGTTATTTCCGTTTTCGAATTCAATTGTGTCCCTTTTCAACAAGTCGAGATACTTTTGAAGTGTCGGTAACGAGATCGCTCTTCGGTCAGCTCTAATACTAAAACTGCTGGCCCGAAAAATTTCACTTCAGTATCAAACGAAAGAAGAAACTTTTTGCTCTAACTATGCAAATCAAAATCCCGGCCCGCGAGACTTCGTTTCTAAAGACGCTAGGTCAGCGCGGGCGGTTCCGGGCGAGTCAGGGTGGAGCACGTAAGGGAATTCCCGGGCGATCCCTGGCGAGCTAGGGTGTAATGTGTTAAGGATTGCCTTGTTGGAGCCGACTTTTCGTTGAATGTGACCTCGTTGAATGCGACACCCACTGTATATTTGTGAAAGTTTGTCATTTTCGCAGCCTAAAACTTTCGAACCACTTAACTTTCGAATTTGTCAAAATTAATGGTGGTTCAGAATCATTTAAAGGGTGCACAGTTTCATTGAGGAGCCTGAAGTCACTGTAGTTTAATTTTCAGTTTTTCATTAGTTTCGTTTAGATCTAATCTTGGGAAAGTCCATCTTCTAAGATGCCATTGTAAACAAGTGAGGTTTCTGTTCTCTAGCCGTGGGTATTGTTCCACACCTTTGAAATTATGGAGTGTACAACCACAAAAGAGGAATAGAGAGAGAGAATCAATCTATTCATCTGATATTTGGCAACTCGAAAACATATGACATGTGTCACTTTTCTCTCAAGATTTATTGCTCCATTCCTGTCGAGTGTAAATGTAGTAGGCCAATGACTTTCAGTTGATGTTAATGCACCGATCATTCCTTTCATCGAAAGGGGGCCCACCTAGTTATAAATAATTAGTGAAGATAAAGGAAACTGTAAACCAATTTCTGGTTTTTTTCTTCTGTCACCAGGTGCTTCGTCGAGCTTTTGGTCCGTGCCTGCTGGTGCTGAGTCGTCCTTTAACAGGTCCCCGTCTTTCGCGTCAGAATCATCAAATGAAGATCGCCCTTGTTCTCCAAGTGGACTTCGTCCAGTTCTCTCACCAAGCAGGCTCAGTTTTGTTAGCTTTGGTGCCGCCAGTTCTTCTTCCAGTACAAGTAATTCTCATCTTCTTATTCATGAATGTGTTGTCTGTTTTATGACTAGAAAAATGCGAGCACAACTTGGTGTAATTGTGCTCTGGTCAAATGATATACAATGTTTTTAAACTGTTAGAACCACAGTGCAGCATCATTGATCTAGTGGTCGGGCTCTTAGATTCTCAACCATGAGATATTGGGTTGAATCCTGTCCGTGGCACAACGTTGTGTCCCTGGGAAAGGCACATCACACAAATGTTCCTCTCTTCACGCAGTTGGGAGTGGTTACCCGACTGTATTCAGTGGAAGATCTCGTCAGTTAGTATTATAGCATGTGTAATCTATAGTTTGCACTATATGCTTCCTGGAAAGCAGAGAATATTTCTCTTTTTTTTTTGGTCTGCTGGGGTAATAATACTTGTACAGGCAAAGAGCGTGATCTTGAGTATTGATATCCGCTACATAAATGCAGTAGTTATTGATATTATTACAATGTGTTTAAGGAAATTATCATATTTTGTAAACTATAAAACCTCTCATACGTACTACCAATGGGCAGTTTTGTTCTTCTTGAAATTGTATGTGGTTGGAGGGCGCCACTGGTAGGTTCTACCTCCCCTGTATAGTTTCTCTCTATCTATTATGCTTTTTCTCACTGTTTTATAGCTGTTGTTGTGTCAGCGTATTTCTCTGTTCTGAAACTAATATGTTGGGGGGTTTTTTGGGGTTTTTTTATGTGGGTTTTTTTTTTTTCGATTAATAATTTTCACTTGTTTCTTCATTTTCAGCCAATATGAAAAGTTCCCCTTCTCCTTCAATGACAAGCACCTTGCAAAAGGGTATTTTTGGACCACCTATGGGCTCTGTTTGTGACAGTCTTGCCAATAACTCTAACTTGAGTCAGGTCAGGCAACATGGTACCCAGAGCAACACTTCTATTTCGTCATGTGTATCATCTACATATGAAACATCAAAAATCGCCAAGTCTGTACCTCCTAATATTGGATACTCACCAGGAAGTCAACACTACTGGCAGAATGTTCGTAAACCTACACCTGTCCGATCCACGCATGATGAAAGCAGGTCAACGGGCCCATGTGACTCTCAAACATCAAATGTATCAACTCGCGATGGACGGAATGATGTAAAAAGTTCTCTTGGGTATCTATCCAAGCAGACAGAAAAACAATTTTCTACCTCAGTGAAAAGACAAGGCAGCTTTGTCAAGCCTGCAGACAATAAAAAAATGGTGGATAGTATCCGGAGATCGTCCCGGATCGCTACTAAAACAAGACCTTGGCCATTGAAAAAAGCCCTGAGTTGCAGTAATGCTAATGACAAGGAAAGGGCAGAGTTAGCTGGTGTTGCCGCTCGGTGTAAGAGAAATTTCTCTCCCACCACCAGTGCAGTAACAAGTATGAAAGACATTGTCAATTCCTCTGCTGCTACAAACTCATTTCGAAGTATCCCTTCAGACATGCTATTGCAAAATATTCTGGAGTTTTCTGATGATGAGGGTGAGGTTGAAACTGATCTGTGTGACCTATCGGAATCTGCAGTCAGACAAACAGCAGGTAAGTTTCGATTTTGGTTTTTCTACAGGAGTTACTAGATACATTGAGTTATTCCACTTCAAATGATTGTCATTGTCTCATCATCATTGTTGTACAGAAAGAAAACTCATGAGGAGACTTGATCTAGTTTAGAACATTTTTTTTAGTCTTTAAAAAATGTTTAATGTCTCGTCTATTCGGGCTTCATCAGGAGCATTACCAGGAAAAACAACTCAATAGTACAGTGGAGTCCACTTATAACGAGTCCTGAAACAACGAGAAGTCTGTTATAAAGAGTCTGTTATAAAGACACTATTCTAAAACCCCGTTTTTTTCCCTTCTTTATCTTTGTAAATAAAATACTGCTATTGCGCAATCAGACAGTCACGCGAGTTTGTTATAACGGAATACTGCTGCTGCTGTGCACAGCACGCAGACCAATTAAACATATAAAACCTCGCCAGTCAAGTAAGTTGTTGGTGATCCAGCGAAACAAAGAATGGGAGAGCCCACATGAACCAACAATGAAGGGCAGGGCGAATGAGTGGGGAGGGTGTGGCATGCGCAGACAAGCAGAACGCATCGAGTGATAGGCCAGCCCAGTCTAGATTATCTAGGCCTAGGCATACCGTGCCTCTCACTTCTCTGGTGCGGGATGGAGAGGTCACAATGCTGTGGTAGATGGAATGAATGTGTGACGTGCGCAAGCAGACGCAACGCACCACAGGGTGTGGTGGGGTGAGGGACAACACAGCGGGCGAGTTAGCCTAGAGCCAGAGCCCCTTCTTTCTGATAGCCAACACCCAGCTGTCAACATTGCTAGTGCTAGAGAAAGAAACCTGATTCGATTTTTGGTCTCGTAAGACCTAGAGATCATGTTGAACAAAATCATCATCAGAGGAAATACAAAAAGGAATAAAGAGAACACCGAACTCATAGATTAGGCCTACTTTACTATTTCCCTTGAATTTATTACTGGATCCCAAATAACAAGAACCCTGCTATAACGGACATTTTGCACCGGTCCCTTCCCTCTCATTATAACAGGATTCCACAGTATAGCTTTTGTTAGTCTTTGTGAACTAATGCTTCTCATTTATTTCCTACTTCCCATTTTTCAGAATATGAGGTACAGATTAAGTTGTACCATCAAAGGTTGTGCAGTAGTCTCTGCCTATACGCATGGTGCTAGGGAGGGCTCCTAAGCCTGCGTTTACACAGAGCGTGCATGAACCTGTTCAAAGAGGGAAAAGGACGCAACCATCTCACTTCCTTGACATTTTCGTGACCGCCCTTTGGGGGGGGGGGGTGCCGATAATGTGACAAAATACAGTCGAACCTGCCTTGACAGCCACCTGTACAAACGGCCATTTTCCATTTCCTCCTTTGCGTTTTTTCTATATGATTTAACTGTGTAAAACGGACACCTGTCCAACGCAGCCGCGGCCACCCTTTTTTATTTTTATCACAGTTTAAATTTACCTGCATGAGACAAGCAGACTTTGTAAAAAAAATCAGGCATTTTCACCTGACGCTATGGACAAGACATCATAATTCATTCACCTGTGGTTATTGTCAGTCCCTGCAATGGATGAAACGGTTATGTTGCTCAGGTCTCTCCCAATGTTTACCCTAGGTGACCAATGGGTAACAATAAATTTTCAACTGCTGGTATAGGAAGCGTGTGATCCATCATAACTGATAAGTCCCGCCCACAACTCAGTCCATAACAATGGAAGACAACACAAACTCACAACTGAAAAGTCGCTCATTCGCCGACTGGTAGCAACCCATTTCTTTGTTTTACTATGGCACTTGGCCTTCCTGGACTGACACAATTCGTTTTGTAAGTCCTACTAAAACCGTCCTATCCTCTCCCCATTTTCAAAAGAAAAAATAAATAGAACTATACAAAATAAAAAACCTTTCTAATGAGCCCAACGGCGGTCCTAATCCTGCAACCTCCTCCACCTGAGACCTCAAAAGTAAATAGTTTGTTTTCTTCATTTGATAAGTCCTGCGTATGACGGCCACCTGTCTTATACAGCCTCTTTTCTCCCCGACAATGCGTTGCCATCTTACACAAGTTCGACTATATGACTTTAAAAAAGTATTCCCTGATCACGGTTACGTCTACAAAGGCATTGAATGACTGGTGGAATAAAACAGAAAGACCAACTCACTTTTTTACTGATGTGCACTAATATGTGGTGAACAGATAAGAAGAGACTGTCAGTGATAGTCATAGGGAAAAGCGCTCACAGTCAGCTCCAGTTTTCCAGGCGATTACTACTGAATACCTGTCATCTATTGCAAGTCAGTAAATGCATGGATTACATCAGACATTCCGAGAGATTTTTCTCTAGCGATTCATTGAAAAAGCATATTATAAGTTCTTCAAGCGCAGATCACTTGAATAATCTTTAATCCTATTGACCTATCTAGTGTTCTACAGCATTCATGTGTGTTGTGCATCATAATAGGCCTAACATTACAGTCACCCAAACTCTAAATATCAGGGAGAAACTTTCTCCCAAAGACACATTTCAAGTGACTAATCAAAAAAACTTTCAGTTTCACCCACTTTTAACACTTCATAAACATATGCGCAAATGATCATTATGAAATTGACTACTACTGTATGCTTCCCATGAAGTTTAAATTGTTTCAGAATGCTATCCGGTCTGCTGGGGTAATAATTTGGATTGTAAAGCGCGTAGAGCTTGCTATTAAGTGCAAATTTGGGCAATAAAAATGCCATCTATTACTATTATTTCTCCTTTGGTTTAATCTGTTCAATTAAATCTCGGTCACTGCATGTACATGATGTATCTAAACAAAACTACCGTATTGTTTTATCGTGATATATTAATGTGAAGTACTTCTTTTCCAATCAGATTATTAGTTGCAAGTGTCTGTCAGTCTTTTTATGGACTAACTGGCTGCAATATATTAAAAGAAAGTAGATTAGAATTTTGTGCCAGTGCCAAGGTTGTCTTATGAGTTTCTTTTCGTGTCATTTCAGATTCATCAACCACAGTTGGAAATGAATTCCTCTAATGTGTCTTGGGACATGGGTCAATGGACTGTTGAGAGATTTTTTTTCCTCTTGTTATTAAGTCTTTTAAGCTCTGCTTACAGTTGAAGTGAACGTAGGTTCAAATGCTGCTCTTGTCTTTCATTGGAACTTAAGTTTATTAGAAAATTATAAACTCATTGTTCTAAACCATTTAGCACTTACAGGGGCATTGTGCAGAGTCAGTTAAATCACGCTTAAAGCAGCATTGCGCAGTGTTTCAATTGCCAAATGCATGCCCGACATTACTGTGGTGTGCATTCCTATGAGGTCTTCACATATCTTAAAATGACTGAAAATGAGGCTATAAAGTGGAAGTAGAGTTGTTTTTCTTTCTTCAAGTTTTTGAATTATCAAAATTGACCGAGATATAATATAGTGATTGTGTGAATTTTTAAGTAAATGGAGGGTGCAATGGAGTTGGACAAATCCAAGGAAACTTTGAAATATACTAAAATTCAGTTCGTGAAGTGATCTGGACCAAAGTCACATTGAAAGTACATTTTTCGGTCTACTGTGATATTGTATTTATTCAAGTCACCAGGGAAGTTGGTCCTTTTTGGATTTGATGAAATAGATGGCATTTACCTGTCATGTTTTCATGAAAACCCAATTGTCGCAACTGTTATGAGAGAAATAAAGAACTTACCCATATTGTACCCTGCAGAAACTGGCTTGTTGGAAGCAATATTCTTTTTCTAATACATAGACCTAGTACTAGTTGCTTTTTTCTAGATCATTTTGTGCACATTTGTTTTAACTAATTTTTTAAAAACATATGTAGCCTATGATATTTTTAGATTTAGAAGCCTATCTTTTGTTCTCGGATTTCTGATCATGTATCAGGACAACTCCTCAGGAGCTAAATGGTTTAAAACATGTGAATGATTTTTTAACATTGGAATATATTTGTGTTAATCAGATATCTTCTGCTTTTATTAGAAACAGGTGAGAGAGGTGTGTTTTACTGTGATGTGAAATCTTTTTCTCATTAGTGTGTCTATGAGTGAGTATTAAGCTGAAACTGCAAGGGAGTTTATGTGTGATAATTTAGAGAGTGGAGAGAGAGGTGTTCTTTTTGTGTCAGAAACAACAGCATGATATTCCAATTGATACAAATCTGTTGTGTTTTCAATCTAGTAGTCAGTAAAACTTGCGCTTGGTGCCATGCTGTTGTAAGTTGTGGACATTTTGTACTGTTGTGACATTTCTTCTATCTCCCCAGGAGAGGAGAGGACTTAGCCTTCATGATGATATGGCTGGCTTGTTTCCTGCTCTTATCATTGCTGCAGTTCCTTGGTAGTGGTAGTTTATATTTTGTTGATCTCTATGCCGTAGAAAGTGGTAGATGGATTGGGGTGTTAGGAAAAAGTTGGCTCGTTTACGAGGCTGATTCAATGCAGTTGAAACAATGGTGGTCGACTGTTCATGATGAATTTGCGGAGTGTTCTGATTTAATGCGGTTAAGGTTTGTATAGAGGTAGAAGGACCACTAAACATGAACTTACTAAATGGCATGGACAAGCCAAATTAACTTCTGTAATCTCCCAGTCTGAACTAAAACTTTTTTAAAGTCTTATGTTTTCTCCGAAACATGACAAATAATTTCCTAGAAAGTGGCACAAGCGAGAAACATGTCTGGTCATAGATGTTGACTTTTTTTGTGAGGCATCTTGGTTGAATCAGGCGCTGGTCAAAATAATGAAATTGAAGAAACTGGCGCTTTTCTACCAGTTTGGGAATTTTTATTGAATTTTCGTCTACACCTTTCGTGTCTATATAAAAAATTTCACAGAAAACTGTTGATTAAAAGCACAAAATGCGTAATTTTATTGAAAGCTGTTGAAATTGTCAAACTTTGGCGGCCATTTTCTCACTGTTTTTACCACTGAAACCGGGCGACCCCTCCTTCTTCTATTCAAGATAGATGGGTATTTCTTTCATCAAAAGCAACACAAATAAACAAACTTTAAGATGATACCAATAACTCCACGTGCCCAAAAATTGACGAGCGCCTGATTCCACCGCGTCGTGTCACATTTGTACTGTGGAACTCGGATTCAACGAGGTCGCCGGGCCTGACCTAAAATCTCGTTGAATCCGAGTGTTCGTTATAACAAACATGAGGTTTTGATAATTACAGGCACTGAGCAAGTAATGTATAAAGAGAACCAACAAGTGGTGCCTGAAATGCCTGCATATTATGAGCTAAGCAAAAAAGACCGGCTAGTTCAAAAGCTCGCCTGTGTCATCTCGATTGTTTGCCAAAAAGTTGTGTTGCTGTGTAGAGCCTAGCCTAGCTTACGGCAACTTTTCATTCCAAAGACCAGCGCTCAATTCATTACGCAGATCTATGTCAAGACTAGCTTATTGTAATAATGATCAGTTGCCAGGGGGAAAAAAAGACTGTGATGCGTTTATATCTGCGACGTTTCACCCCGGGCCGCTGGTCCCCCGACACACGCACACACAGCCACACCTGTGCTAGCCGCCCATCTGACCTGGACACACACTAGGCCTAGAGTATGCCTAGACATGTGCGCGTGCCAACAACGCATGTCTTGGTATGAAAGAAGGCCGCTGATTCGTCGCATTCGATTAATCGGCTATGTGAATAATGGTTCATGATGCAGGTGCAATGGATGGTTTCCGGGAATAGATAAAGTTGGTGGTGGGAGAAAAATGAGTGAAGCCGCGTCTACGGGAGCTGTTCACCAACTGTAAGCAACCTCGTTGAATCCGAACTTGCTGATTTAAGTACTCGTTGAATCCAGGTTATTTTTTATTAATTTTAAAGAAGAAAATAACGGGGAATCCATCTCCTCTCTTTGAATCCTAGTTCTACTGTACCTGCAAAGAGTCCCCAAATACTTACAACTTTAGCTTTTCTTGTGGTCATGAATTTAAATTTATCTTGATGAATATAGAGCTCAACATTTGAAGGTAGTCCTTTTCCAGAAAGTCTGTGAGAGTCAGAGTAAATCTCCAGTATACCTAAGTCATGCACTCATACCGATGATGTTATGCTTTACTATGTAACTACAAGAGATACGTCAACTCTTTTTTTCTTTTTTTTTTTGAGGGGGGACGGGTTCTAGAAACATTCCTATGCTATTCTGCAGGTCCTCAAAAAAGATCTTTTCTCAGGGCAAGGATAGTCCTTCGTTAGTATATTTTATATTACTTCTTTAGCTTGAAAGTTTTTCAAGAAACCAGTTACATAGTTAGAACGTAACTTAATATATTTTTCTGTGAGTCTTTAATCTGGAAGCCTTCTTTAGTCTTGATTTCTGAGTCTGTTCAGATTTTTCATGTATATGAGCCTTTGCCGATAGGTGGGGATTTCTTCATTTACCTTACAAAATCCTTTTCAAGTCCAATAAAGATGGTGCTAATGCTATAGCTTTGAAAATTGTATATGTTTTGCTATGGGAGCATAGAAATAGCTGTCGGGCCATCAGAAGAAATCTAACAAATATTTTTAGTCTTGAAATCGATGCAAAACGTGACGCGTCGAGTTCGTACTTTTCTGTTGTCAAGTTCAACAATGAAATAATTGCTGAGAAACTTGTCCTTCTACTCTTTTAATACTATTACTACATAATTTGTGGTTCTATATCAGGAATAATGATATCTGTAGCTGTTTTTTCTTTGTGAGCCTTCTAGATTTTCATTTTCGAGCATAACTCGTGTAGTCATTTCACAAGTCAACTTCGATTCCGCGTGACTTCGTTTCTATCGGCCATTTTGGGGCCCAGGAACGAGCATAATATCGTTCAATGTTTACTCTCTGCCCTGACTGATTCCAATGCTGTATTCGTACATAATTTTGCAGAAAGCAGAAATTCCGCCGCGCTTCATGCTCTGTCATCATTTGTTATGTTCAAAAGAACCGATCATAAAGCGAAAAATAATAGGGTCGGAGGATCGTGCATTGTTCCTGTCGATCCATTCAAAGCATATTGTTGTGCAATGTAAGACGGGGAGAAGAATAACGATGGATGAGACGAATCCATTTAAGTTTTCTTATGTCGTCATTAAATCTTAACATGTTATGTTCAAGAATTTAAACCAAGTAATGATTAACATCGCACTGCATTCCAGTGATCAAGTAGTGGTAGATCTAGATGTAGCTACCTATGCTTGTCTAGATGTCAATGGGAGGGGAAAATTTGATGTAAATTAATAAAATGATATGTTCCAAAATTATGACAAACATTTATTCACTGTATCGTGTATGTGTCATCGTGGTTATGTTCAAAGGATATTTGGTGTTTTGCATAGAGTCATAGTAAAATGTGAATTAGGTGGCATTTTTTTCACCATTAGTATGCATTATGAGTCAACCTGAATCTCCTGAATCTAGCATCTGCGTTTGTTGCCATTTTTTTTCCAAAAGTTGCCACTAAAATGGCAAAAGTTGCCAAAAAGGTTGCCATTAATTTTCAAGCTTTCAACTCTGTGACGACGTATACAGCAATATATTGAAATAGATAACTTCATCTAAAACACCAGAATTTCTTGTGATCTGTTTTAAGCATCCAGAATATCTTTTGCAGCCACACAGAGTGTTTAGTTTTAGTAGAGGTTTTACAGCGCTCGCAACTGAAGGTCATATGAACGAGCGCCAGAAGATAAGAGGTGTTACAAGAGAGTAACAAACATAAAAAAGGGAGATTAGGACGATAGATGTTTCATAGGAAAGAAGAAGCAAACCATACCAGAGCACCCGCCAACCACCCACACAGAGTGTAAAAACGTGAAAAATAAAGGTTTCACAACAGAATGAAATCAAAATTAGAACTGCAAATAAACAACCACAAAAATTAACAAATAGACTGGCCGTTTTAACCCTAAACGCGTGTAATTCAAGAAAAGGTACAGGATCTAACATGTAGATTATGGAAGCACACACAAGGGGCCTGAGTGCTAGTGTCAGTATTCATTTTTGGTGGAGACACGCTGTAACATAACTATAACACATTTTTTAAAAAGGTAGGAAGAACATTACGCTATATAAACACACACACAAAATGGAAACACAACACATCAGAACAGTGATGAGAACAAAAAATTAACACACCAACAAAATAAAACACAACAAAGAGGAAAACATGAAAGAGAAACAGCTAAATAGTATGTTACACATCAACGTAATGTTAACAAGTGAGAAAGAGACGAAGTGAAGTGAAAGTGAAAATAAACTTTCTTTCTAAAAGTAAAGAGGTTTGCTTTCTTTTCTTTTTTTCACGAATATTTTTCCCAGTTTTTGTTTTTGATGTTGTTTTTAAATTATTTTTTCTTAATATTTGATAAAAGTCAGACGAGCACAAGACGACAGTAAACATTCAGCCATATTGATTTAATAGGGAAGGGAAGTGTTTATTTTCGTATCGAACATCTTCACTATATTCGAGTATAAGTATCGAATATCTTGACATCCCCTTTACTTTATAGAAAAATTCAAAATGGACATTTCCAATACAGTGGAGTCCACTTATAACGAGTCCGGAAAAAACGAGAAGTCTGTTATAAAGACACTATTCTAAAACCCCGTGTTTTTTTTTCTCTTCTTTACCTTAGTAAATAAAATACTGCTATAGCGCTATCAGACAAACATGCGAGTCGGCTATAGCGGAATATTGCTGCTGCTGTG